TAATATTATTTAGCCTAAAAAATAATATAAAATATTTATGAGGCAACTTTAAAAAAATAAATATTTATATTTATTTTATGCCATTTTTCAATTTGTGTTGTTATACTCTGTCACTAATAATCCAGGTATTATTAGGTATTTTATTACATTGGCCGATTTCTGGTTTCATAATAGTAATCAAGGAAGATGCCTTTTATACAATTTAATCAAATTATATCATCGAAGAAGTATCTAGTGTATTTATAATTTATGTACCCGCCCAACAAATTATATTTCACAAAATCTCAAATTGTTTATATTAGCAATGGTTTAGCTTAATCCAAAAACGTCCGTTGGATTCTATACCTACAGAAATATACMRAATGAACACACRTAGAAGTAGTTTGTTAATTTTAGTAGTAGTGTTTGTGCCAGAGGTACTCACTTTATATACTGCTGACCCGGCGGCCGCTAAAGCCGCTAACAGAACCCCGGTCATGGTTTTCTTTTTGTTCGTAATGCCGGCGTCCATGTAGGCGAGTAAAGCCACCCCTGTGCTGCACAAGATGACAGCCACGATCTGCAAACGATCATTGCTGAAAACGGCACAGGTCGCACGATATTGACGTGGTCCCATAATGTGCGTCGTTTAATACTATATGCTAAAATCCCTGAACTTTTTAAACACTACATATTTTAATATAGCGTTCCAATCAATAAAAGCATTATAATATTGTATCTACGTAATCGCAGTTGATTGCATGCATAACGATATATTTTTGTTAGGTATAGTAGGTAAACGATTATATTTGTAAACAGGTCTGTTTGTTATTAGGWAWTTACTGTACACTTAAGAGTTTAGGTACAGGGTAACTCCATTGGTGCAAATAAGYTGGAGTATCGGGAAAAATTCCCGCTTYCCTAATTGATAAAAATGTTAAATCTATTTAATCTAAATCATGCGGATGTGTGCACGCATTACTAAAAAAATAAATGTATAACAACATGTTCATAATATATAATATATAGAATATACAGTATGTACGTCAATGTATAGTGTAAAATACACTTTAAAGTATATTAATGACATTAATTATGATCTAAAATATACATATTATAGCTACTTGAAATAATAATRATAAAATTAATATTATTCAGTCAATTATTATGGATCGACGAAATTATATTTTTATTATTTTGCATCTTGTCATGGGCGTATTCCCTGACAATAACTAATAATTAATATATTACTTATTTAAAAGAAATTGTTTAGCCCAAATAGTAAGTTGTATTTTATATTTTATTGTATTAACCTATCGTTGGTTCAATTAGCCAATTTATGCCAATGAACAGTGACGCAACTAGACCTTTTTTGCGGAACATGGGATCATAACCCCTCCACTCCCATTGGCTATGCTAGTTCCTACGAACAGCAATGGTTTCCCTTGTTATTCCATAAAAATATCGAAAACGTGGCCGTGGAGTCCAAATCTTTATATTKAAGAATGTATAAGGACATAATACACCGTTTTATATAATTAGTAGGTACTATATACCTAC